CTCCATGAAGATATTTTCAACATTCCGGGGAGTAGCGTCAGTCCAGGTGAAGCTCCGGGGAGTAGCGTCAGTCCAGGTGAAGCTCCGGGGAGTAGCGTCAGTCCAGGTGAAGCTCCGGGGAGTAGCGTCAGTCCAGGTGAAACTCCGGGGAGTAGCGTCAGTCCAGGTGAAGCTCCGGGGAGTAGCGTCAGTCCAGGTGAAGCTCCGGGGAGTAGCGTCAGTCCAGGTGAAGCTCCGGGGAGTAGCGTCAGTCCAGGTGAAGCTCCGGGGAGTAGCATCAGTCCAGGTGAAGCTCCGGGGAGTAGCATCAGTCCAGGTGAAGCTCCGGGGAGTAGCGTCAGTCCATGTGAAGCTCCGGGGAGTAGTGTGAGTCCAGGTGAAGCTCCGGGGAGTAGCGTCAGTCCAGGTGAAGCTCCGGGGAGTAGCGTCAGTCCAGGTGAAGCTCCGGGGAGTAGCATCAATCCAGGTGAAGCTCCGGGGAGTAGCATCAGTCCAGGTGAAGCTCCGGGGAGTAGCATCAGTCCAGGTGAAGCTCCGGGGAGTAGCGTCAGTCCAGGTGAAGCTCCGGGGAGTAGCGTTAGTCCAGGTGAAGCTCCGGGGAGTAGCGTCAGTCCAGGTGAAGCTCCGGGGAGTAGCGTCAATCCAGGTGAAGCTCCGGGGAGTAGCGTCAGTTCAGGTGAAGCTCCGGGCAGTAGCGTCAGTCCAGGTGAAGCTCCGGGGAGTAGCGTCAGTCCAGGTGAAGCTCCGGGGAGTAGCGTCAATCCAGGTGAAGCTCCGGGGAGTAGCGTCAGTCCCGGTGAAGCTCCGGCTAGTAGCGTCAGTCCAGGTGAAGCTCCGGGGAGTAGCGTCAGTCCATGTGAAGCTCCGGGGAGTAGCGTCAGTCCAGGTGAAGCTCCGGGGAGTAGCGTCAGTTCAGGTGAAGCTCCGGGCAGTAGCGTCAGTCCAGGTGAAGCTCCGGGGAGTAGCGTCAGTCCAGGTGAAGCTCCGGGGAGTAGCGTCAATCCAGGTGAAGCTCCGGGGAGTAGCGTCAGTCCGGTGAAGCTCCGGCTAGTAGCGTCAGTCCAGGTGAAGCTCCGGGGAGTAGCGTCAGTCCAGGTGAAGCTCCGGGGAGTAGCGTCAGTCCATGTGAAGCTCCGGGGAGTAGCGTCAGTCCAGGTGAAGCTCCGGGGAGTAGCGTCAGTCCAGGTGAAGCTCCGGGAGTAGCGTCAGTCCAGGTGAAGCTCCGGGGAGTAGCGTCAGTCCAGGTGAAGCTCCGGGGAGTAGCGTCAGTCCAGGTGAAGCTCCGGGGAGTAGCGTCAGTCCAGGTGAAGCTCCGGGGAGTAGCGTCAGTCCAGGTGAAGCTCCGGGGAGTAGCGTCAGTCCAGGTGAAGCTCCGGGGAGTAGCATCAGTCCAGGTTAAGCTCCGGGGAGTAGCGTCAGTCCAGGTGAAGCTCCGGGGAGTAGCGTCAGTCCAGGTGAAGCTCCGGGGAGTAGTGTGAGTCCAGGTGAAGCTCCGGGGAGTAGCATCAGTCCAGGTGAAGCTCCGGGGAGTAGCATCAGTCCAGGTGAAGTACCGGGGAGTAGCATCAGTCCAGGTGAAGCTCCGGGGAGTAGCATCAGTCCAGGTGAAGCTCCGGGGAGTAGCGTCAGTCCAGGTGAAGCTCAGAGGAGTAGCATCAATCCAGGTGAAGCTCCGGGGAGTAGTGCGAGTCCAGGTGAAGCTCCGGGGAGTAGCGTCAGTCCAGGTGAAGCTCCGGGGAGTAGCATCAGTCCAGGTGAAGCTCCGGGGAGTAGTGTGAGTCCAAGTGAAGCTCCGGGAAGTAGCGTCAGTCCAGGTGAAGCTCCGGGGAGTAGCATCAGTCCAGGTGAAGCTCCGGGGAGTAGCGTCAGTCCAGGTGAAGCTCAGAGGAGTAGCATCAGTCCAGGTGAAGCTCCGGGGAGTAGTGCGAGTCCAGGTGAAGCTCCGGGGAGTAGCGTCAGTCCAGGTGAAGCTCCGGGGAGTAGCATCAGTCCAGGTGAAGCTCCGGGGAGTAGTGTGAGTCCAAGTGAAGCTCCGGGAAGTAGCGTCAGTCCAGGTGAAGCTCCGGGGAGTAGCATCAGTCCAGGTGAAGCTCCGGGGAGTAGTGTGAGTCCAGGTGAAGCTCCGGGAAGTAGCGTCAGTCCAGGTGAAGCTCCGGGAAGTAGCGTCACTCCAGGTGAAGCTCAAGTGTTGTACGGATTGTGTAGGTTATTTTAGATGTGTTGGTTATTTTAGACGTGTTGGTTATATTAGACGTGTTGGCTATTTAGACGTGTTGGTTATTTTAAACGTGCTGGTTATTTTAGACGTGTTGGTTATTTTAGACGTGTTGGTTTTTTTAGACGTGTTGGTTTTTTTAGACGTGTTCGTTTAGACATGTTGGTCATTTTAGACGTGTTGGTCATTTTAGACGTGTTGGTCATTTTAGACGTGTTGGTTATTTTAGACGTGCTGGTCATTTTAGACGTGTTGGTCATTTTAGTCGTGTTGGTCATTTTAGACGTGTTGGTCATTTTAGACGTGCTGGTCATTTTAGGCGTGCTGGTCATTTTAAACGTTTTGGTCATTTTAGACGTGTTGGTCATTTTAGACGTGTTGGTCATTTTAGACGTGTTGGTCATTTTAGACGTGCTGGTCATTTTAGACGTGCTGGTCAGTTTAGACGTGCTGGTCATTTTAGACGTGCTGGTCATTTTAGACGTGTTGGTCATTTCAGACGTGCTGGTCATTTTAGACGTGCTGGTCATTTTAGACGTGTTGGTCAGTTTAGACGTGCTGGTCAGTTTAGACGTGCTGGTCAGTTTAGACGTGCTGGTCATTTTAGACGTGCTGGCCAGTTTAGACGTGCTGGCCAGTTTAGACGTGCTGGTCAGTTTAGACGTGCTGGCCAGTTTAGACGTGCTGGTCATTTTAGACGTGCTGGTCAGTTTAGACGTGCTGGTCATTTTAGACTTGCTGGTCATTTTAGACGTGCTGGTCAGTTTAGACGTGCTGGTCATTTTAGACGTGTTGGTCATTTTAGACGTGTTGATCATTTTAGACGTGTTGGTCATTTTAGACGTGCTGGTCATTTTAGACGTGTTGGTCATTTTAGACGTGTTGGTCATTTTAGACGTGTTGGTCATTTCAGACGTGTTGATCATTTTAGACGTGTTGGTCATTTAAGACGTGCTGGTCATTTTAGACGTGTTGGTCATTTTAGACGTGTTGGTCATTTTAGACATGGTAATTTTTTTATGTAAACTTAGATTGAAAAATTTCCAAATGAAAGTTGTAGTCAAATATTTTTATTAAAATAACTTTTTCTTCCTCTGGAAAAAAAGTCTTGGAATTATTTTTCTCAATATGAATTATTTTATTTATTTTTCTCAATATGAATTATTTTTGTTACGTTTGTCAATATTAATTTAGTTATTTTTGTCAATATGAATTATTTTATTTATTTTTCTCAATATGAATTATTTTTGTTACCTTTGTCAATATTAATTTAGTTATTTTTGTCAATATGAATTATTTTAGTTATTTTTGTCAATATGAATTATTTTATTTATTTTTCTCAATATGAATTATTTTTGTTACTTTTGTCAATATTAATTTAGTTATTTTTGTCAATATGAATTATTTTAGTTATTTTTGTCAATATGAATTATTTTAGTTATTTTTCTCAATATGAATTATTTTTGTTACTTTTGTCAATATTAATTTAGTTATTTTTGTCAATATGAATTATTTTAGTTATTTTTGTCAATATGAATTATTTTATTTATTTTTCTCAATATGAATTATTTTTGTTACTTTTGTCAATATTAATTTAGTTATTTTTGTCAATATGAATTATTTTAGTTATTTTTGTCAATATGAATTATTTTAGTTATTTTTCTCAATATGAATTATTTTTGTTACTTTTGTCAATATTAATTTAGTTATTTTTGTCAATATGAATTATTTTAGTTATTTTTGTCAATATGAATTATTTTATTTATTTTTCTCAATATGAATTATTTTTGTTACTTTTGTCATATAATTTAGTTATTTTTGTCAATATGAATTATTTTAGTTATTTTTGTCAATATGAATTATTTTATATTTAGTTTTTGTTCTCAATATGAATTATTTTAGTTATTTTTCTCAATATGAATTATTTTAGTTATTTTTGTCAATATGAATTATTTTAGTTATTTTTCTCAATATGAATTATTTTAATTATTTTTCTTAATATGAATTATTTTAGTTATTTTTAACACGTTTATCATAGTATATTTTAAATAACCCTCATTTCCAAGAATGCCTTGATGCCCACGAAGGGCTCTTGATCCAAGGAACTGAACCGATCCTCCGTTGGGGATCAAAGTTGTTTTCCTCCCATTTCCCAGTCGATGCATGAACCCTGCGGGTCTAGCTCTTCATGTATGTAACGCAGAACAAGCAATCACATTATCAAGGAACTTGACAACGTGAGAAATCACGAATGCGCCTGGAAGTTCACTGTTCTTTTCAGAGTGGTTGTTCTCAGTGTTCTGCAAACTGTGTTATCACCTCTTGACTGTGATCTTATTGCACCGTGTATGTAATATTTCTTATCTTTTATCATTTATAACTTGATATTGTTAGCTTAGTATATTTTTGTATATGAATCACTAATATTTCAGTTATTTACCTTTAATTAACTATAATATCTCGTCTGTTCATTGTCAATACTGTTTTGTAATTTGTTTCAGAAAAGTAGTATTACGAACACTTGTATTCATATTTTAGATTTAATTATTTTTCTCTCTCCCTCCCTCCCTTCCTTTCTCTCATTCTATCTCTCTCATTTTCACCCTCTCTCTCTCTCTCTCTCTCTCTCTCTCTCTCTCTCTCTCTCTCTCTCTTCTCTCTCTCTCTCTCTCTCTCTCTCTCTCTCTCTCTCTCTCTCTCTCTCTCGTCTCTCTCTGTCTCTCTCTCTCTCTCTCTCTCTCTCTCTCTCTCTCTCTCTCTCTTTATTCCGCTGTGAGTGTTGCAGGAGAGGATATCCTGGGAGGTGGATCACTCAGACTCCGTGGCTGGCCCTCTGGTTATATCTGACGTGCGGGTGTTTGGTGTGGGTGCCCGACCCTCCCACCTGCTGCTCAACGGTGAGAGATGGACCACTGGAGACTGGCACTATGATGATGCCACCAGGGTGAGTGCCACACCAAGGTCAATTTCTGGATGGGGGAGGGTGAAAATTTTTAATTATTTTCATAACATTTCTAGAATATAATGTGTATATGTCATGGTTCCAGTAGGAACAGGAGGTCCACGATGATTTTTTTAAAGAGTTTCTGAAATGTGACATTGAGGGAATTATTAGACTATAACTTCGTCTTAGGAGCTTAGTATGTTTTGATTTTTTACCCGAAGTTATATTTTTCGTGGAAAACCATTTGGCTAGACTTTGGGTCAGCTCTCAAGTTTGTCAATTACTTCAATATTTTTGTTGGTGTGTTGAGGAGGTGAAGATGTTCGACCTGGCGATCCCCATCCTGGAGAACTTCGAATTGTACTGGAGCTACAACCTGGTCTTGAAGCTTCCCTGTCCACTCTCATACGGAGGTGAGTGGCACCTCTCCGGGGAGTGGCACCTCTCCGGGGAGTTTGTAAATAAGACACGTGTGTAGTAACCAGGATAATTATTAAAGATAAACAAGTTTCTCTCGGGGCTGGAATGAAACTTTTCAATGGATTGATGAAGCTTGTGAGAGAAAAAAAAAATTCAGCCTAAATCCGGCCTAAATTCGGCCGGATTTAGGCCTATGGGCTCACGAGCGGTGAAAACACTTTCCATAATAGATTTTTTTTCAAAGCAATTATAGTTTGTGAAAACGGCAACATAATATACAACCCAAACAAAACACAACATTAAAGTCTATTTCTAAGGATCACAGCAATCAAAATGTGCCATAGACATATTGAGACATTCATTGGTATTAAATGTTTAGCTAACATATAGCTGTATATATGTATATATGTATATATATATATATATACGTATATATGTATATATGTATAAAACTATAAACTAGAATATTCATGCAAATTACATCGTTTATAAACAGAACACCAAGTTTATTTACCGAAGCCCGACACTTTCCGCACTTTCTTATTAACAAAGTCGCTAAGAGTCTATCGAAACAGAGAATGACTCAAAATATCACGTCCTTAAGTCATTACTGACAGGTAGGGAAGCAGTTCGTCCGTAGTGGACATTCACTAGCTATTTTTAACACGCTTCATGTTTATATTGATCTCCCACCACTACAGGTGGCAACCATAAAGCTACGTTATTTCCACATTTCAGAGTTCACCTTTGATGCCCCTGTCAGTTATTAGTTTATAGAGGAAATGTTTTCTACACAATCTCTTTCTGTATCTCTTCACGAGTCGAAGTTTCTAAATGACCCAAAAGTCTGAATCGGGAACACACAAGCTCATGCGCAGATAGTATTGTTGTTGTTTCACAGACGTTATAATCTGCACAGTGATTGCCAAGAAATTAGTAACACTGAATTCTTATTTTGTATTTATTGATTTTTTTTCGGTTGAGGGCCCTGTGTAGTTAAGGGCCCTTTGTGGTAGAGGCCCCTGTGTGGTGGACGCCCCTGCGTGGTGGAGGGCCCCTCCCTCAACATGGTAGGAGCCTTATATTTCAGGGAGACTCCTTGACAAATGTCTCCTCTGCCCACAACTAAATCCTGCCCTGACTCCTGGTCCTACACATGTATCATGCACATGTCTTCATTTACATCATCTGTTACGTCTTAAGGGAGACCACAAGCCTTATACAACAGCTACGAATTTAGCGCTTCTCTAATAATAATAATAATAATAATAATAATAATAATAATAATAATAATAATAAAATAATATAATTAATAATAATATAAGTTTACCGTGTGTCACCACGCAGACTGGAGCGAGACTGATCCAGTTACTGAGGACCTGTGTCTGGAGAGGAACTGTGTGTGGGACCGGTCAAGCCAGGTGAGTCTTGACTGACAGCTTCTCAACCCTTAGTATCACCAGCAACGCTCTGTGACCCGTACGGTTTTATGGCTTGTTTTCGAATATGTTAGTACCGTTGACGCCAGTGGAAAACTCTTGATTCAGGGAATTGGAGATACTCTTCACCTGCTTGGATCAATCCTGTGTGTGTGTGTGTGTGTGTGTGTGTGTGTGTGTGTGTGTGTGTGTGTGTGTGTGTGTGTGTGTGTGTGTGTGTGTGTGTTCTTCCTGTGATCATCAAGTGACAGTATTTTTGCTCATTGTTTTATGAAAGTGTCTAAAGTTTTTATTCTTCATGTTTGCTTCTTGTAATACAAAGAACATTTCCTCGCTTTTAAAAAGAGATTTTTACTGTCCATTTATTCCTCCGTCCGCCTGCGTTATGCGTCTTCTTCTGTTACCTCTCTACCTGTCTGTTTACCTCTGTTTACCTCTCTACTTGTCTGTTACCTGTCTACCTATTTACTTTTTTCTGTGTCTCCCATTCTGTGTCTGCGTAACTTTTTACCTACATTTACCCGTCTCTCTACCTGCCTAGCTACACCTTCTGTCTATTTGCCTATCTATTTCTGTCTGTGTACTTTTGTCTCTGTCTACTTATGTCTATTTACCCTTCTTTCTTTCTAATTGTATCTGTCTCCATTGTCATTTCTTCCTCTTGTCTCATTTTTATCTGGAGTTTACCTGAAGGGAGTTCCAGGGGTAGAACTTCCCCGCGGCCCTGCCCATGACCAGGCCTCATGGTGAATCAGGGTCCCATTAACCAGGCTATTACTGCTGGCCACACGCAATCCAACGCACGAACTACTGCCCATCTGGTTAAGCAACGACTTTAGATATCTGTCCAGTTCCCTTTTGAAGACAAATAGAACTCTATTGGTGATCCCCCATTATGTATGATGGGAAGCTGTTGAACAGCCTTGGGCCCCTGACACTAACTGTATTTTCTCTCAAGTGTACGCACGACACTCTTGTTTTTCACTGGGGTATGTTGCACTGTCTACCTAGTCTTTTGATTTCATAAGGAGTGATTTCTGTATGTGGATTTAGGACTAGTCCCTCTAGGATTTTACAAGTGTAAATTATTGTTGTATTCTCGCCTGCGCTCCAAGAAGTACAAGTCGAGGGACTTCAAAGTATCCCAGTAACTGATGTTCTTTATTGAAGTTAGACTTGCAGTGAAGGGCCTCTGTTCATTCTTCTGATCTGCAGTTTCAAACCATACCCCCGGCCGGGATTGAACCCGCGGTCATAGAGTCTCAAAACTCCAGCCCGTCGCGTTAGCCACTAGACCAGCTAGCCACAATAAGATTCATCCAACTAGGTATATTTCTTGCATTTGTGGTCACAGTGGTGCCTGTGCTAACCTTCCTATGGTGTAGAAATATACCTAGTTGGATGAATCTTATTGTGGCTAGCTGGTCTAGTGGCTAACGCGACGGGCTGGAGTTTTGAGACTCTATGACCGCGGGTTCAATCCCGGCCGGGGGTATGGTTTGTTTGCAATCGTGTCATTACGATTTCTTGAGTCATCTACAGTTTCACCTGCCTTGAAAGGGGATGTTAGTATACAGCAGTATTCCAGCCTAAATGGAACACGTGATCATCATTGTCATGGCATCCCTTGTTTTGAAGGTTCTCATTATACATTTTACCATTTTCCTTGCATTTGTGTTAATAACATTGTTGTGGTCCTTGACTATGAGATCCTCTGATATTATCACTTTTAAATCCTTCATATTGGTTCTTCGCTCTGTGTGGTTGCAATTGGTCTTATACTCCGTTCTAGCTTGTAATTCCTCAAGTTTTCCATAACGGAGTAGCTGGAATTTGTCCTCATTGAACATTATATCGTTTTATGCGGCCCATTAGATGACTTGGTTAATATCCGCTTGAGGTTTTAAATTGTCCTCAATGAATGACACTAGTGCAAATTCCAGTATCGTCTGTGTAGGAAGATACAGTGCTGTGGCTTTCATCTCTATATGTCAGATATGAGGATGAGGAACAGGATGGGAGCGAGTACTGTGCCTTGTGGGAGAGAGCTTTTCACTATGGCCAATCCGTTTTTTATTACTCTTTGTGTTCACTTTTGTTTTCCTTTTTCTTTCTCTCATTTTCATTCTTTCATTCAGGTGTTAGTATTTAGAGGCTTGTCGCTTGTAACTGGCGGATGGAGGATCGAGCCTCCACCTCTCCACGCACTGAATAACCCACAAGTGTTTAGCTCATCAATATTAAACATAAACGAAATTACTTTTTCCGTATCTGGCAATGAGCCGTTTGTGTGTGTGTGTGTGTGTGTGTGTGTGTGTGTGTGTGTGTGTGTGTGTGTGTTGTGTGTGTGTGTGTGTGTGTTGTGTGTGTGTGTGTGTGTGTGTGTGTGTGTGTGTGTGTGTCTGTGTGTGTGTGTGTGTGCTCTCACCACTGTTCGTACCCTCATTTGTTTCTCATTCCCTCCCATTCTTTCCTCCTATTTCTCTTCTCCCCCTCACTGTCTTGTCTTACTTCTCCCTGCCCTCCTCTCTCTTTCCCTTCTCTCCCTCTCTTCCTGCTTCCTTCCGTGCAAATCTACATCCCGGAGAAATGTTTGGAGCGGCCAGCCAGCAGTATTAAACGAAGGCTAAGTGTCGCTACACGCCAGGCTAAGCGGTTTAAATTCTCTTTCGGGTTTTAATTAATTTGCATATATAGACATAATTTTAGAATTTTCGTTCTGTTTTATTTAAAATTTTGATACAAAAACCTTTACCCAGTTCCTGCATGCTTATTTCCGTTTTTAATAATTCAGAGATTTTTTTTCGTAGGATAATGTAGGTCACAGATAAACATTTCTGAAATATTCTTGAGTATTTTCTTTTTTTTACAAAATATACCGAAAGAATATTCACATTAATGTAATTTAAAATTAACTATAATACTGTGGGAGTAAAAAAAAAAATTGTTCTCTCCCAGAAACCCATGAAGTACATATCTAATGTATTTCTGAGTCGCCTCCGCCTCGTCGTTCTTGACAATAATACTGAACCTGAGTCCGACTCCGGGTTTTAATAAACCCTTTTCCCTCAGGGCCTATCAACCAGCGTGCAAGCTGCTGGAGAGTACACACCTGACACAAAACGTACTCCTCCGAACCTATCCTAGATACTTTTACTACAGATGATATATCTTAAGTATTGTTTCGCTATTTTACATGTGAACATCAAGGAATTCGCGGAGAGCAGTTGGTAAGATTTAAACTCCAAACACAAATCTCTGGCTTAATTCAGACACAACCTACGAATGCTTAGGGCCAGTTCTCCTGCTTAACCATTACCCACGTTTCACAATCCTTGGCTTTGTAGCATACCTACACCTTTGATCCAAGGCAGGCCAAGATCAGAGAATCACTTGTTTATTTTATATTCACCATTTCTCCCTCCGCGAACGTCCTTCCCATGTTCAAATTCCCCTCCTACAACTGATTCCTCAATGAGATTAAAGCTTTAACCTTCTTCCTCAAACCTGCTCCCGGGTATCAAATTTACTCTTTGCACACGCCAAGGTAATTCTCCCATTAATTGGTGCACTCGTCCTCGTTCCCAAGGCCAGGTTCGAGACAGCTTAGCAACTCAGTGTTTGTGTATTCTTTATTATTATAATCATCTTATATATAATATATATATATATATATATATATATAATCGTGCCGAATAAGCAGAACTTGCGATCTTGGCTTAAATTGCAACGCTCATCTTGCCATATTGGACAAGTTAAAATTTGTGTATGCAATAATATCGCCAAAATCATTCTGAACCTAACGAAAAAAATATATTTGATTGTGTTTGTTTAGTACTAAATTATTATAAACATATTTAAAATGTATTTAGTTGGGTTAGGCTAAAATTAATTGTTCTTGTTATAATAAGGTTAGGTAAGTTTTCTAAGATTATTTTGGTGCAAAATTAAAAATTTTTACATTAACATTAACGAAAAAAATATATCTTTAAACGTATAAGAGAAAATTTTAGAAAGGACTTAATTTTAAATGAGTTCTTGCTAATTGACCAGTTTTACATATTCGGCACGACATATATATATATATATATTATATATATATATATATATATATATATATATATATATTATATATATATATATATATATATAATATATATATATATATATATATATATATATATATATATAATAATCACATTCCGTATGACCTAAGAGACTAAAGTAAGAAGCGGCTCTTTAACTGATATATTACACAAACTGTAACTTTTCCATGTTAGCTTCATAGGTTAACGACTCACTGGTTAACTATTAGCTTCTCTCAGCCTTGTAGCGCTTTGTTTCTTAGCGGTGTGACGCGTCGTACGGATGTCACAGTGTGACGCATCGTGCGGATGTCACAGTGTATTAAATGTGACAACAAGAATGTGACATGACGATTCATATTGTACGATTTTCAATAGCTTGATGTTTACACATTGTTGAAAATAATGTGAATGCTAAATAAAAATATTAATGGACCAAATGGAGATAAGTCACAGTTGAATTTCTGGGTCATCTGATAAACTTACAACATATGTTGCTATGATGATCATTCTATGTAAGCGTATTTAGGTGTGATGTACATGATTAAGTTTACATACTTAACTTACGTCTTTAATATTGGTGGTCACCCGTACAATGAGTGGGTGAGTGTCACCCGTTACCCATTGATGTGGGTGGTTCTTCAACCCATTACCATGATGTGTGGTGGTGGTCACCTCGTACATATGTGGGTGGTGGTCACCCGTACCTGATGTGGAGTGGTGGTACCCGTGCCCTGATGTGGGTGGTGGCACCCGTACCCATGATGTGGGTGGTGGTCACCCCGTACCCATGATGTGGGTGGTGGTCACCCCGTGCCCATGATGTGGGTGGTGGTCACCCCGTACCCATGATGTGGGTGGTGGTTACCCCATACCCATGATGTGGGTGGTGATAGAATAAGTAGTGGGACCACGAGCCGAGATTCGATTCCCTTGGTTATCTCACACACACACACACATACACACACACACACACATCTATATATCGTGCCAAATAGATAAAATTTGTCGATTAGCAAGAACTCATTGAAAATTAAGTCCTTTTTAAAATTTTCTCTTATACGTTTAGAGATATATTTTTTATGTTAATGTCAAAATTAATAATTTTGTACCAAAAGAACCTTAGAAAACTTACCTAATCTTATTATAACAAGCGCAATTTAATTTAGCCTAATCCAACTAAATATATTTTAGATAAGTTATAATAAATTAATAATAAACAAACACAATGAAATATATATTTTTTTCGTTAGGTTCAAAATGATTTTTGCGAAATTATTGTGCAAACAAATTTTCGTTTGCCTTATTCGGCAAGAAGAGCGTTGCTGTTTAAGCCACAATCGCAAGTTTTACCTATTTGGTACGATATATTATATTTATTATATTATATAATATATACACACACATATATATATATATATATATATATATATATATATATATAATAATATATAATATATATATATATGAGGATGTACACAAATTATTGAGATGGAGTACACACACACACACATACACACACACACACACACACACACACACACACACCACACACACACTCACACACACACACACACACACACATATATATATATATATATATATATATATATATATATATATATATATATATATATATATATATATATATATATATTTAAACGTATCTCTCTTCCTTAGGTGTCATGTTCGCTTCCTCCGCTGACTGACTATGGCTTCGTGTTTCATGACGGCTTGGTGGAGAAGACTAGTGACGGGTTCCTCACTGTGTTGAGAAAGCTGGGAGCTTCCTTGTACCCGGATCAGGTGGAAACCATCACTTTCCAAGCCTTCCTCTACAGCGACGACACTGTCCGGCTCAAGGTGTGATGAGGGGGGGAGGGTAGTTAGCTGTGTTTACTGCATGAGGACCTTGAATGACACAACTGACATGAATGCTGGGATAAAAAGTACATAAGGACATATTGAGCACTTCAACTCACCTGACCCCTCGCATCTACCTTGACTCTGTGTACACTTAATTAATGCCTCTCACTACCCTTGTGTATTTAGTGAATCAGGTCCTACGACCGAAACGTTTCCTTAATAAATTTCCCCCCAAGTGTTTGCTCACTTGTTTCTAGTGACAACTTGTTGTGGTATACCAAGTTTTCTTATTTTTTTTTCTTACGATGCATTAAACCCTAAGAGAGGTACGAAATTCTGATCTCTTGTGGTCTTCAGATATTTGTGGTCTTTTCAACTTTCGTGATTTTTTCCCTTTGCTTTTTTTTTTAGCCTCTGGGGCTTTATGCTCCTTTGTGGTCTGCTCTTTTACGGTCAGCATTTTTAAGGTCTGGTATTTTGCGGTCTGCTCTTTTTTGGCCTTCATATTCTCTGCGGATTCCAAATCTTTAGTCTTCGGATCCTTTTTGATCTTCGGATTCATTGTGATCCGTGGATCTTTTGTGCTCTACGGATTCTTTGTGATCCGTGGATCCTTTGTGACTCACGAACTCGGAATGACACGATTGCAAACGAACCACACCACGGGCGGGGACTGAACTCGCGGTAATCGTAAAACATCAGACCGACGCGTTATCCACTTTGAGGGGATTTGAGCTAGAGTTCGTCACGGCCACGTTAGCGGGAGATTTACCTGTAAAAACTTGCATTTGTGGTCACAGTGGTGCCTATGCTAACCTTCCTAAGGTGTATAAATATACCTAGTTGGATGAATCTTATTGTAGCCAGTTGGCCCAGTGGCTAACGCGTCGGTTTTACGATTCACACACCGTAAGTTCAATCCCCGCCCGTTGTATGGTTTGATCCTTTGTGATCCGCGGATCCATGGAGTCTTCAGATACTTCTCAGTTCTCTAATCTTTTGAGTTCTTCGTTGAGGTCTTTGGATTCTTTGTGGTCTTCTGATACTTTGTGGATGTTGATGTCAGATTCTCGGTGGCTTCTTTATCACCCATCAGATGGTGGATATCGAGCCGCTGCCACTCAGAGGAGCCGTTTAGCCTCGGCACGGACGTCGGCTTTGTAAACACAGTACCTGAACGCTAAGGCTGAAAACCCTTCATGAATTATATTAGAGCAAACGTCAATATTTCAGGAGTGGATGCTAGCTACGTGGAGGTGTTTACAATGGTGAGTGAAGGTGCTGACAATGGTGCTTGAAGGTGTTCACATTGGTGGGTGAAGGTGTATACATTGGTGCGTGAAGGTGTTTGCACTGGTACTTGAAGGTGTTTACACTGGTACTTGAAGGTGTTTACATTGGTGCGTGAAGGTGTTTGCACTGGTACTTGAAGGTGTTTACACTGGTACTTGAAGGTGTTTACATTGGTGCGTGAAGGTGTTTACATTGGTGCGTGAAGGTGTTTACATTGGTGCGTGAAGGTGTTTACATTGGTGCGTGAAGGTGTTTACACTGGTACTTGAAGGTGTTTACACTGGTACTTGAAGGTGTTTACACTGGTACTTGAAGGTGTTTACACTGGTACTTGAAGGTGTTTACACTGGTACTTGAAGGAGTTTACACTGGAGCGTGAAAGGTGTTTACACTGGTACATAGAGATAGTTTACATCGGGTATCAGCGGAGCCGTGAAGAGCGACACTGTAAAATAAACGATGTTATGTATTTCAATTAGAGGGAAATGGATTATATATATATTTTTTTTTTGCAATCATGATTGTTATTAATTCAGCTACAATTTACTGCGCAATAATAAGTAGCTTCCCCGTCCTCGGATCAAGCCAGACTGCTTCCCATTTTCCAGGTGCTGTCTAATAACAGATTTAACACTTCTCCGTGAATAAACCTTATGGGTTTACAGCTGTATAGAATATAAGGAGAACAGTTTGCCAAGTTGATCTTCAAAACTATTTTAAGAGTTGTCTGGGCTCAGCGTGTCAGTGTCACAGCAGCGAACAGAGGATCGAACCTCCACAGCTTACGGTGAATAACCCGTGAGGGTTCAGTGCTTCACGTTAAATAAATTAGTTTTAATGAAAAAGTTGCTTATAAATCACCCTTTTTTTTCACCAAAACATTGGTAAAAAAAATTCCTTGTGTGAATTCTGTTACATTTTGAAATACATGGCGTTGTTTTGGCAGTTTTACCATGATGGGGAAAGGCGCTACGAGGTGCCACTAGAGGTGAGAGTGCCAGTGAGTGGTGCCAAGAACCCTCTGTATGAGGTGGTGCTTCCCAGCAAACACAACCCCGGAGATACCTTCTTCTTCTACGTCGTCAGGAAGGACACGGGAACCATTCTGTAAGTTGGACGAAACACTGGACAGAGGTTGAGAGAGAGAGAGAGAGAGAGAGAGAGAGAGAGAGAAAGTAAGAGAGAGAGAGAGAGAGAGAGAGAGAGAGAGAGAGAGAGAGAGAGAGAGAGAGAGAGAGAGAGAGAGAGAGAGAGAGAGGTCGATCTACTCCAGAGAAAAGTAAAGATTTGCTGTCTCTCTGGGGTTTATTTATTTTTCTTATTCAATGTATGGATGAGTGAATGAGTTAAGTTTAGTAGCTGGAGGTAACGCAAGTGGCTGGAGGTAACGCAAGTGGCTGGAGGTAACCCAATATCATATATGGGGGTGATGGACTGAGGGAAATGAGTGTGGGAAAGGGAGAGAGGGGTAGAAGGCGGGAGCAGCCTTCCAGCCAGGTAATGTGTACGGTGACTACCCTACTCACCTCACTACACTACACTGTACTGGTAGAGAAAGGGATCGGATATTAAGATAAATGAGGATGGTACACAAATTATTGAGATGGGAATACACAATTTGCTGAAGACATCGGCTATTACACCTACAGAACAGTCGTTAGGACAGTTCACTCCTAGGAATCAGCCATCCTCTGGCTATAGGTTCCCAAGACCTGACAATGACGACAGTTATCTCTCCAGAGTCTTCCGACAGAGCTCCCTGCTCCCAGCTAGAGCTGTTCCCCAAGTCCTATCTCGCACCAGACTACTGCACCCAGTCAGGTTTCTGCCCCAAGTCTTTCTCTTGGCTGTTTCCTTTAGCTTATATTGCCATAAACTCACCCGTTCTTTCCTATCTTAAGTTCATCTTTCTTTTCAAACAAAGTTCTGAGGTTACCAAGGTTTCCACACCCACGTCACGTGACCTGATGACACCAGATTAGCGGGACTTATGGTGACCTGATATTTTGTGAAGCAGTTTGCCTATATCACACTGGTGTGATATAGGCAAAGATACCAAAAGTATCGTGCAAAACCCCCAGTTGATCATATCACTTAAACTAAACAAAAATTGTTGCCTTCACCAGATTCTAACTAAAAGACATGTTTCGAAGTTATGTAAAGCTTTAAATAAGCTGCCCCACTTACGAACGTCCCGAATTCAAATAAACGCCACAAGTGATAAACGTCGGCACTGATTATAATATAAATGAACAGTTATGTCTCGATTTGGACTTGATAATAACTCAACTCTCGCTCGACGCCAAACGTTTACTCTCTCTCTTGACCCAGACTTTATACCCAGTCTTGACGCCGAACGTTCTTACCCTCGACATACACCTTGTACTCCCTCGAGTGTGTCTGGCGCTTAGAGGACAAAGGATCGGGCATTCAATACTGCTTGCGCTGATTAACCACAATAATAATAATACGTTCCTTCCACAGGTTTGACACCAGGATCGGTGGATTGACGTTGACGAAGCAGTTCCTGAGTATCAGCAGCACGCTGCCCAGCAAGAATGTGTACGGCCTCGGGGAGAACGCTCACGACTCCTTCCGCCACGACCTGGGAGGGAAGACTTGGCCCATCTTCGCCAGGGATCAAGGACCTCTTCCTGGGGTGAGTCCTTCGCCAGGGACTGTAGGCCTCTTTCTGGGGCGAGTCCTGTACTGGCTCTGTTAACTTATTCAAGTTGTACGGTAATTTATACTTGCTAATTTAATTTTGCTGAAGAGTGCCTTAGCTTAACAAAGTTCTATGTTAGCTGTATGTATGCAGTTCATCCCGTGTGATGGAAACATAACCAGCTCTTATTCTCACAAAGTAACTCATGCAGAACAGGGTAGGCTCATAATGCGGATGTAGCAGAGTTTACAATAAAAGCCACCTCTTCCTCCCTAACCTCACATCCATGCCATCCATGCAGCTTTCGCCGCATCCATCGCACCCCTGATGCCACCTACCCTCGTGAATCCCTATGAAATGCTGCTACCTTTTCAAAGGTCGAGGCTGTTGCTCGCACGCCACCTTTCGAGAATTATAACGAATTATTCATCCTCAGTATTTTGCAGAGCCCATTTCCATTTTTAGGAAAAATTTAGATGAAAAAAAGTAACTCGTAAATATAAGCAATGTGGAGAATTAGAGACTACACAGTTTAATTTATAAACACGCGAACGTGAAATAATTCCTAATTGATTCATAACAGTGAAAAAGTAAAACAAATTACAATAGTGAATTAAAGTTAAGACAGGTAAATATCTAAGGACAGCAATAGGTATGACTCTGTTCCCAAGGCTGAAGACATGTTCTGATCCACAGTGATCAAAAGTGTGGCTTGTAGGTGGCGCGTCTGCATTCCTCCGTATGACTAACAGTAGTTAGTCATACACTTACACAGATATATACAACAACATAAACCTTTCCCTCACACCCTTCATCTCCCAAAAAGAAGGATCCTGCCAATGCAGGACTGGAATTGGTCCTCTTTTTTATACAACATTATTGCGTATATTCACTGCAGTTTCTGTATATGAGATTTTCAGTGTGAGAACGACAGCTAGCCTGAACTGGAAGACTGCAGTAAGACTATGCGGAAGTAGTCGAATATTCTACCAAGGGCTCAGGAGCTGTGAAGGATTAAAAAAGTTAATTCCAGCAAAGCTGGAGTTATTATTGTATAGGAATTACCAACTCTTACAACGGTCTCCTCCCATATACACATCCTGGGGATGGAGTGAGAGGTGACTCTGGAAAACAAAGGGAGTAGATTGCTGGGTAGGATGTGACAGGGAGGAAGGGAGAGACAAGGAGATATAGGGAGAGACATGAAGATATAGGGAGAAACATAGAGATATAGGGAGAGAGATTCAGGAGGTCTATGAAGATGTTTATAAAACGTCCGATGGAAGTGTGAATCAACACGTTTGTCCCTGAAGTTGACATTCGTGTTTGATGCGAAGCGAAAATCATCGCTTAGCAGGTTAAGAGTCACCTGTTGCAGGCTATAAGACACCAGCTGCTAACTGCGAGGTACCAGCTGCAGGCCGTAAAATGCCTGAGACTTTGTGATCAAAACGAGATGGACAAGAAGCCACCAACCAACAATCAACTATTAATATATTTTGTATAATCGAGGGACAGAATAAATATTCTTTAGTTTTTACTGTGCAATTTCTGTCTAGAGTCTTTGGGTCACTAACGTAACTAAAGTTTTTTTTTTTTTTGCATCTAAACTGTAATACCTGGAGTACAATGCTCTTTGTTTCTGAAACTCTTACACATTATTTTTTATATTTTTTACTGGTGACTGGAGTTTGGAAGTTGACTCCTCACTAGTAGGTGGAATATCACACTTTATTAGTGGCTAGAATATTATTCTCCAGTACTGGCTGGAATATCTTTCTCTAATAGTGGCTGGAATATCTTTCTCTAGTACTGGCTGGAATATCCTTCTCTAGTACTGGCTGGAATATCTTTCTCTAGTACTTGCTGGAATCTCATTCTCCAGTACTGGCTGGAATATCATTTTCCAGTACCGGCTGGAATATTATTCTTCAGTACTGGCTGGAATATTATTCTCCAGTACTGGCTGGAATATCTTTTTCTAGTACTGGCTGGAATATCTTTCTTTAGTACTGGCTGGAATATCTTTCTCTAGTACTGGCTGGAATATCATTCTCCAGTACCGGCTGGAATATCTTTCTCCAGTACTGGCTGGAATATTCTTTTTATTTGGCTGGAATACTACTATTTAATAGTGCTAGAAACACTCTCTCCCTTTACTGGCACCTAAAACTCTGTTCTTTCCTGCATTAACGGCAACAACACTACTACGAGTCCTCCATTAACGCCTGGGGAACAACTCGATTAATCTTTAGCACCTCTAAAATTTTCTCATTCCATTTAGCCTTAGGTGAGTTCTATACCTCCCGCGAGAGGAAGAGGAGGAAGAAAAGAATAAGAAATAGCAGAGCATTTCTGCTCTATATTATTGTTATCATGGGGAGCGCTAAACACTTAGGGATTATACAGCGCCTGTGTGTGTGTGGGAAGGGGGGGGGGAGATGGAAAGCATTCAGGCTTAATTCAGGGAAGTGGAGCACACATTCGATTCGTCAAGGAACCTTCCCTGAGGAATTGCTGCTTTGCAAATATCCTTCTTAATATTAAAATGGTATACAATACCGACAGGTTGATAAGTAAAACATGTGCAACAGTTGGGTATCTTGATTCCGAAACGTTTCGCCTACACAGTAGGTCTTTTCAGTCGAGTACAGAAGAGCGAGCAGAAGCAGTAGAGATGTAAAGACAGTATCATCAGTCCTTCACTTTTATATTCCTCTGATCGTCGATGCCTCCACAGTTTTGTCGTTGAAGCCTCGGAGGTTATATTATCATATGACATGATATTTAACTGCAGATGCTTCCCTTAAGCTTCACCTGGGGTCCCTCCTCCGGCAGGTAAATCAGCAGGTGAACCTCTACGGAGCTCACCCATACTACCAGTGTGTGGAGAACGACGGGCGTGCTCATGGCCTTCTCCTCCTCAACAGTAACGCCATAGGTATGGACAGGTGGTGTGATAAATAAAAAAAAAATAAAATGATTAACAAAAAATAATAATATATACTCTTTTGCATGTTAATGCACCAACATAAAGGCCCTGTATTTCGAAAAGACAACTGCAAATAGCTGTATCTCTGCATCTTGCCGAGTGGTTTATTGCCAGAAATAACTGTTTTAAATTAGATCAATTTAGATTTAGAAAGGGCGTAGGTAAGTACTGGTTTTCAGAGTTGTCGATGCGTGGAACAATCTGCCGAGTAGGGTAATAAGAGATCTGACAATTATACGAGTGAAGGGGCTGGGTTTGATTAGTACCTCAGGTGTGATAGTCTAGAAAACCAATAGCTTGAAGAATGAGACACTCTTGCAACATGAGTGAGGTATTGAAGCAAATTTTTGGGTAGCTCTGGGAAAAAGTTGGATATTTACGCGAGTGGGAATGGGTGATTTTGATAAGGACCTGTCTTGTCTGAGCCAGTAGGTCTGCTGTAGCGTTCCTCCATTCTTATGTTCCTCAGACTACCAGTTGCTCGACTACCCGGCCATAACCTTCAGAACTATCGGTGGCGTGTTGGACTTGTATCTGATGCTGGGTCCTCAGCCGGAAACCGTGGTCTCTCAGTACACAGCTCTCATCCATCGTCCCAGCATCCCTCCGTACTGGGCTCTAGGCTTCCATCTTTCCAGGTCAGGAAATGGAAAACAATTCTTCACACACAGTCGAGTCGCTATTAAGACCTCATTTCACCTTGTAACATGGCCTCTTATACTGTCTTTGTTTCATATGCGAGTTTTATTTATGGAATGCTTCTAAAGTTTGTTTTTTTAAATAACCGACCTCAATATTGAAAAATTAATCCATGTTAAGCGCTAAACCCAAGTGAGTCATTCAGCGCAAGACGTGCTGGAGGCTCGATCCTCCGTCTGGTGAGCGCCAGACAGACGCGCTTCCTATTTGTACTCGCCTAGATGTTCCACCTCAATATTGAGAGTCATGTTTCTCGGCAAATCTGGTAGAGTGAATATGAGAATGGTATACAGTTCCGACAGGTTGAAAGTAAGACACATGTGCAACTGTTAGGTATCTGAAGGTACCTGATTACATCGTCTTTACATCTCTGCTGCTTCTGTTAACTCTTGTGTACTCGACTGAAGAAGCCTACTGTGTAGGCGAAACGTTTCGGAATAAAAATGCTTAACAATTGCACATGTGTCTTAACAAATCTGGTAGATTTTTTTTTAACATCTCTAATGGCGAAACCGTAAAAGATTGTTATAAATGGCTCATGGAACTTTGGCTTTCAGACTTACCAACTGTAAACAGAGATTCATTATTCTTCCTCGCGAGCACAGTCCTTTGATCAAGAGCCCGGGATTCTCCTTTTATTTAAATGCAGAGGAAATTTCCTCATCCGTCAAAATTTTGGCTCTTAACGAAACTACATACATTGCAGATAAAACTTTTGTTGGAACAACGTTTCGCTCTGCGCAAAGCTTATCAAATTATGTCATGACTAGATAAGCCTAACAAACACGCTTGTTCTGAAGCATGTCTCTTCTCAACTACCGTCAACAGCACTCCACACTGCATCTCATTTCAACTGTGTATGACACCAGCGGGTTGAGCACTGCTTCACGAACACACAAGAGAAATATACGTTTGTAAAAGCAAAACAAAACACAATATAAATACAATATAAATACAATATAAACACAATATAAATACTTTTCCTTTAAATGTTTGACTCCCTAGGCCATTTATTGCCTCGGAAGTTTGGAGGAATACGCGAGACATTTGTTGATTTGATTTGATTTATTCTTAAGCAGTAGTTCCCAACTTTCTAGTGTGAAAAGGCCAGTTTTAAGAAGCCAAATTTAAAGGAGGGTCACACTGTGTGATTTTTCTAATTTTTGTGACTGTTGACACTGTGGAACCTACATAAGAGCGAATTCATAATTTTATTTGAGGGTCGCACCCATTTCCTAGAGGGGCCACATGTGGCCCTCGGACCCCAGGTTGGGGACATCTACAAGTTTAATCAATCTGTCAAGCCCATACTTTCTTACAAGATGCATACATTATTTGGAAAGTTTTCATCGATGTGATATCCGTCAACGATGGAGGGTTGGGGTGGGATTTGTACCTTAATTCTGAAAAAGAGCTCTTGATCCAAGGAGTTGGTGTTACCCTCCCCCACGACCGTAGGTCAAATCTGACCACCTCCCATTTCCCATGCAGTGTATCAACCCATAATGGTTTAAGCGATTCCACACTCATGTACAGTAAAACTTGCTTAATGTACAGTAAAACTTCCTTATGGTACGTTCATAGTATAAGGATCCACATCCTTATACTACGAACGTAATGGGACCTACATTCTCTAACTCATTCTTTAGTTTAAAGACTCTCTCCTACACCCATTTTTAGGAGTAAGGAGCTCCTGTAGCGCCTTCCTCAGTTTCTAGTTGTCACTCTTTCCCTGCGACAGGTACGGGTATCAGTCCCTGGATGAGATGAAGGCGGCGGTGGTCAGGACGAGAGCTGCCGGGATACCACAGGTAAGTCTTTAAGTAATTTTTAAATACTGTAAGTGTTTCCTCCTCCTGCAGGTGGTTCCTGAACTTATGTAGTGCTTCCTCCTGCGCTATAATACCCTGCCTCGCCCACCACTGTACACTGCCTCGCCCACCACTGTACACTGCCTCGCCCACCACTGTACACTGCCTCGCCCACCACTGTACACTGCCTCGCCCACCACTGTACACTGCCTCGCCCACCACTGTACACTGCCTCGCCCACCACTGTACACTGCCTCGACCACCACTGTACACTGCCTCGACCACCACTGTACACTGCCTCGCTCACCACTGTATACTGCCTCGCCCACCACTGTACACTGCTTCGCCCACCACTGTACTCTGCCTCGCCCACCACTGTACACTGCCTCGCCCACCACTGTACACTGCCTCGCCCACCACTGTACAATGCCTCGCCCACCACTGTACACTGCCTCGCCCACCACTGTACACTGCCTCGCCCACCACTGTACACTGCCTCACCTACCACTGTACAGTGCCTCGCCCACCACTGTACACTGCCTCGCCCACCACTGTACACTGCCTCGCCCACCACTGTACACTGCCTGGCTCACCACTGTACACTGCCTCGCCCACCACTGTACACTGCCTCGCCTACCACTGTACACTGCCTCGCTCACCACTGTATACTGCCTCGCCCACCACTGTACACTGCCTCGCTCACCACTGTACACTGCCTCGCCCACCACTGTACACTGTCTCGCCCACCACTGTACACTGCCTCGCCCACCTCTGTACACTGCCTCGCCCACCACTGTACACTGCCTGGCTCACCACTGTACTCTGCCTCGCCCACCACTGTACACTGCCTCGCCTACCACTGTACACTGCCTCGCTCACCACTGTATACTGCCTCGCCCACCACTGTACACTGCCTCGCTCACCACTGTACACTGCCTCGCCCACCACTGTACACTGTCTCGCCCACCACTGTACACTGCCTCGCCCACCTCTGTACACTGCCTCGCCCACCACTGTACACTGCCTCGCCTACCACTGTACAGTGCCTCGCCCACCACTGTACACTGCCTCGCTCACCACTGTACACTGCCTCGCCCACCACTGTACACTGCTTCGCCCACCACTGTACACTGCCTCGCCCACCACTGTACACTGCCTCGCCCACCACTGTACACTGCCTCGCCCACCACTGTACACTGCCTCGCCCACCACTGTACACTGCTTCGCCCACCACTGTACACTGCCTCGCCCACCACTGTACACTGCCTCGCCCACCACTGTACACTGCCTCGCCCACCTCTGTACACTGCCTCGCCCACCACTGTACACTGCTTCGCCCACCACTGTACACTGCCTCGCCCGCCACTGTACATTGCCTCGCCCACCACTGTACACTGCCTCGCCCACCACTGTACACTGCCTCGCCCACCACTATACACTGCCTCGCCCACCACTGTACACTGCCTCGCCCACCACTGTACACTGCCTCGCCCACCACTGTACACTGCCTCGCCCACCACTGTACACTGCCTCGCCCACCTCTGTACACTGCCTCGCCCACCTCTGTACACTGCCTCGCCCACCTCTGTACACTGCCTCGCTCACCACTGTACACTGCCTCGCCCACCACTGTACACTGCCTCGCCCGCCACTGTACACTGCCTCGCCCACCACTGTACACTGCCTCGCCCACCACTGTACACTGCCTCGCCCACCACTGTACACTGCCTCGCCCACCACTGTACACTGCCTCGCCCACCACTGTACACTTCCTTAGGGACGTTGTTTACTACTATGTCCACTCTCTTTTCCACTCTCATTTTTTTTCTCTTTCATCTTCCCTCTTTCCTCTTCCTTCTCTTCCCTGTTTCTCTTCCGTGGTTCTCTTGTGGCAAGGGTGGAAACATGGGGCGTGTTTCCTTACACCTGCTGTCCCGTTCACCTAGCAAGCAAGTAGGTACCTGGGTGTTAGTTGACTGGTGTGGGTCGCATCCTGGGCGGATAAAATTGAGGACCCCAGTTGAAATAAGACAGTCCTTCGATGACGTACTGCCTTCAAAATCTTATCTTCCCCCTCTGTCATTCCCTTTCCCTTTTCTTTCTCTTCCTTCTTTCTCTCCCCCCTCCCTTCTGATCAATACCAGTATCACCCACCTCCATCTTACATTAGTGGGATTTTCCTCTCTGTTTTTGCAAACTTCCTGCCGCTCCCTCTCCCCCACTCATCTCCCTCACCTTCAAAGCCGCCTCCATCCTCCCACTCACCTTCCACCACTTACCCTCCTCCTCTGTCTACCTGTCAATACACTGCTACTGTTTTCACAGTGTACTGGTTCTGAAACACACTATAGCAGTCGTCCTCCTGCTGTGAGAACACTGCAGGTGCTCTCACAGTAGGAGGACGAGTTGTTTAACATGTCCTGCTAATAACTTTACGACTGCTTTCATAAGATCTTGATGTCTCTTGAGTTTATATGACTACCTTCAGGAGGCCTTGGCCTCTGACAGCCACGTCTTCCCTCCTTCCGAGGACCTGCTGGAGTTTTCTCAGTGTGTAACTTTTATATGGAAAAGGATAGGCGAACATTTTTGGGTTTTCTTTCAATGTAGCAGCTCACTGTAGGTGTTCCTATGTAACCATCTATAGAATAGGAGAGTCGCACACTGCATGTGTTCCCACCATGTTTTATCATGGAGAATAATTTAGCCGCATTCATCAGGTGTTCCCACCCGTGTATCTATCAGAGAGCAGGATAGCAGAACACTGTATAGGTGTTCCCACCATGTAGTGTGTGGGAACATGCACTATGTGGCTATTCAGTAGCCATATTGTGCGGGTTTTCTCAATCTTGTTTAATAAAAAAACCACCCTCGGCCAGGACGTGCAGTACGGGGACATCGACTACATGGACCGCAGGATGGACTTCAGCATCGACCAAGAGCACTTCGGGGACCTGCCGAGCTACGTCGAGACCCTCAAAGCTGACGGAGTGCACTTCGTAGCTATCCTCGACCCAGCCATCAACGCTGAGGTGAGGCAGGCACGGAAGAAGGGAGGGAAGGAAGCATCGGAGAAAAGAAGAGCCGCGATAAAGCAGGGAATGGAGAATGGGAGAAGGGATGAAGAGAAGGGAAAAAATTAAGAAGGAAATAGGAAGGGATGAAGGAGGAAAGGAAGGGAGAGGCGGACGAACTGAAAGACAGGAGAGGAGAAACAGGCAGACAGACAAGCAGGGAAGGAGGCAAGCAAGTGGGTAGGTAGAGAGACGAGGAAGCAGCAAACTCATGTGACCCTCCAGGCTGTCCAGGTTCATCAAACTTGCCCAGCGAACAACTATCTCAGCGCTTCACGTGAGGCCGCTAGTATGTAGAGACAAATTCTTTGTGAAATTATCAAACCTCGTGGAATTCAGCAACAAGAGAAGCTCGTTGGCGTTCGCCTGACTCCAGGCTGGAATCCAGATTATGCATATTTAGTAATAATCACCGAGAAATGCGTAGGAAGAGGTGATACAAAATGGTACTGGTGTAAGGATTGGCATGGTGGCGGTGATATTTATTTTGTTGGTGGTGCTGGTTAATATAACTCTGCTAGTATAATATGTAAACATTGCTCATTGATTCTCATCAGGAATGACAGTAACTTGGCGGCAGTGCAATTTAGGTGATGACAGTGTTGGCACCAGTGCCGCTGCTGGAAGACGATCGCTTGAAGATTTTCTTAAGCTTGCTTCCTCTCAGAATTGTTTGAGCTTCGCTTGTCACTGAAGTGGCTGGGCCGGAACGATTTGCGGGAGGGGGAAGAGAAAGGAGGGAAGGGAGGACAGGAAGAATAGTAGGGAGAGGGATGAGGAAGAAGTGGGGGAAGAGGGAGAGTGAGAAAAGTGGAACAAGCAGGAGAAAGGAGGAAGCAGGTGGAAGGATGAGGTAGGAGGAAGAGCAGAGAGGGAGCAGGAGGGAGGAGAGAGATGATAATCCAACAGGGAAAATATTTTCTTAGCAAAGATATATATATATATATATATATTATATATATATATATATATATATATATATTATAATGTTAATAAATATTCTGTCTGTGATACACAACGACTGAAAAATTTCTGTGCTGTATTTTAAAGGTAAATTAATATTAGAGTTGTGTAAGCTTGAGCAAAAAAATTTAATCCCTTTAGGAATAAAAAAACATAATCAAGCAACAAAAACATTAACGATGGGTATTTCTTTTTCCGAAATGTCGAGTGGAAATTCAGATTACATGTTGGCTGTTTGTTTTGTATTTCCCTGAGGTGTTTTGTAAGTGGAGTGTGACGGTGACCTATGTGTGAGCAACGTGGTGGTGGTGGTGGTCGTGGTGGTGGTGGTGCTGCTGCTGCTATCCCTGGTGGTGGTGCTGCTGTTGTTGATGCTGTCGGTGTGACAGTTATGACGGCAATATGTACAGTGGAACGACGTCACCTTAATTACATTGCGTGTATCCAACCATTAAAGAAAATGATCTGAGGTAAACGGTACCTCTTGTGTACAGACGGGAGCTCTAGAAGAAAGGTGGGGTTATGGGTGTTCCCGTGTTATCTTGTTATCCTGTTATCCTTTGCGTGTTCTGCTTGACGAACACACACACACACACACACACACACACACACACACACACACACACAAGTGAGCCAGGAGAGAGAGAGAGGGTCTGTAAGAAGACTTTGCACAGAATACCACGCAGTAGACTGGTTGAAAAGCTAGAGGAGCAGGCAGGAATGGTAGGAAAAGTACTGCAATAGATCAGGGAATACCTGATAGGACTGAAATAACGTGTGTTGGTACGAGACGAGGTATCAGAGTGGGTGCATGTGTCGAATGGGGTTCTACATGGGTCGGTCCAGGGTCTGGTGATGTTGTATATGTGAATGACATGACGGAAGGGTTAGTCAGAGATGTCCCTGATCGTAGACACCGTGAAACTACTGAGGAGAATACAAGCGGACGAGGATCACATAAGCCTACAAGGGGATCTGGACAGGCTGTAAGCCTGGTTCGACAAATGAGTCCTGGAATTTAACCTTAGCAAGTGCAAAGTTATGAAGCTTAGGGAAGGACAAAGAAGACTGCAAATGGAGTACAGCCTAAGAAGCCAGAGGCTGCAAAACTTACTCGAGGAAAAGGATCCTGGGGGTGAGCATCATGCTGAGCACATCTCCTGAGGCGCACAGCAACCAAATAACTGCTGCAGCATATGGGCGCCTGGCAAACCTGAGAACAGCGTTTCGACATATAAGTAAGGATTCATTCACGGCACTGTACACCGTGCAGTGCCTATATTGGAGTATGCTGTACCAGTATGGAACCAACAACAAGTCAAGCACGTCAAAAAGTTAGAGAAAGTGCAAATGTTTACATCAGGACTAGTCCCGGAGCTGAGGTGTGTGTCCTACAAGGACATGCTAAGGGAACTCAACCTGACAACACTAAAGGACAGGAGGGATAAGGGGGGGGGACATGATAACAAATAAAATACTGAGAGGAATTAATAAAGAGGATAGAGACGGAATGTTTCAGAGATGTGACACAGCAACAAGGTGACACAGCAACAAGGTGACACAGCAACAAGGTGACACAGCAACAAGGTGACACAGCAACAAGGTGACACAGCAACAAGGTGACACAGCAACAAGGTGACACAGCAACAAGGTGACACAGCAACAAGGTGACACAGCAACAAGGTGACACAGCAACAAGGTGACACAGCAACAAGGTGACACAGCAACAAGGTGACACAGCAACAAGGTGACACAGCAACAAGGTGACACAGCAACAAGGTGACACAGCAACAAGGTGACACAGCAACAAGGTGACACAGCAACAAGGTGACACAGCAACAAGGTGACACAGCAACAAGGTGACACAGCAACAAGGGGACACAGCAACAAGGTGACACAGCAACAAGGTGACACAGCAACAAGGTGACACAGCAACAAGGTGACACAGCAACAAGGTGACACAGCAACAAGGTGACACAGCAACAAGGTGACACAGCAACAAGGGGACACAGCAACAAGGTGACACAGCAACAAGGTGACACAGCAACAAGGTGACACAGCAACAAGGTGACACAGCAACAAGGTGACACAGCAACAAGGTGACACAGCAACAAGGTGACACAGCAACAAGGTGACACAGCAACAAGGTGACACAGCAACAAGGGGACACAGCAACAAGGTGACACAGCAACAAGGTGACACAGCAACAAGGTGACACAGCAACAAGGTGACACAGCAACAAGGTGACACAGCAACAAGGTGACACAGCAACAAGGTGACACAGCAACAAGGTGACACAGCAACAAGGTGACACAGCAACAAGGTGACACAGCAACAAGGTGACACAGCAACAAGGGGACACAGCAACAAGGGGACACAGCAACAAGGTGACACAGCAACAAGGTGACACAGCAACAAGGTGCACAGCCATGCAGCAACAAGGTGACACAGCAACAAGGTGACACAGCAACAAGGTGACACAGCAACAAGGTGACACAGCAACAAGGTGACACAGCAACAAGGTGACACAGCAACAAGGTGACACAGCAACAAGGTGACACAGCAACAAGGTGACACAGCAACAAGGTGACACAGCAACAAGGTGACACAGCAACAGGAACAGAGGTGACACAGCAACAAGGTGACACAGCAACAAGGTGACACAGCAACAAGGGGACACAGCAACAAGGTGACACAGCAACAAGGTGACACAGCAACAAGGTGACACAGCAACAAGGGGTCACAACTGGAAGTTGAAAACTCAGATGAGTTACAGGAATGTTAGGAAGTACTTCTTCAGTCATCGAGTTGTCAGGAAGTGGAACAGTCAGGAGTGTGACATAGTTGAGGCAGGATAGGTTTAAGAAGAGGTATGATAAAGCTCATGGAGCAGGGAGAGAGTGGACCTAGTAGCAACCAGTGAAGAGGCGGGGCCAGGAGCTGTGAATCGATCCCTGCAACCACATATAGATTAATGCGCGCACACACACACACACACACACACACACACACACATACACACACACACACACACACACACACACACACACACACACAAACACACACACAGAAATCTTTCACAGAAGTCCAAAGGATTTCATGGGTCTTCTAGGAAAAATACAGTGAGGCCAATAATAAAGTGTGCGCGCCTGAGAGAAATAGTAATCACAGATCAGCCAAAAAGAAAATATAGATCTAGAAGTGGTGGAAGACACAGAACGTAGTGGAATGGTTTGATATCCAGGCAGGAGGAGGAGGAGGAGGAGGAGGAGGAGGAGAAGGAGAAGGAGAAGGAGAAGGAGGAGGAGGCAGTGAAGAAGTGTGGTAGTAAGATGGACGGAAGTAAGAAGATCGTGTGGAGTGTGGCTGCGCATACCAGAGTTACTGGAGAACGTGTTTCAGAGGCAGGAGGAATTTCAGTGACGATAAAAATACTCAGAGAATCTAAAAGAGAAGTGAAGAAGTGGGAAGGCATAACCATAGAGGAAAGAAGCTCCAAGGAGCAGTGGAATAAAAGTGCGACCCTGTCGAGGAACTACAGACTACAGTGAAATACAGAGGGTCACCTTACACCTGGAATCCAGTGAGAGTTGCGATGGTTAGGTGAGGCAGGTCTCGCCTAGAAGCAAGAGTACCAACTGCTACTAGAAGTACATAACAGAGCGAGAGAGAGAGAGACAGATCTGAGTGCTATGGCAGGGAGGGAAGGTTGGTAATATTGGGGTGAGATTTGAGCACTGACGCTCTGTTATTGTTGAGAAGTGCAAGACTAGTTTTAGCCATTCCAGGACGAGAAATAGAGGTTTGATCCTCTGTCAGGTAATCACGAGGATGTCTGAGACCTAGAGAGGGAGAGACAGTGGGGTGAGAGAAAGATATGTGGAGGCTTCAGTGAGGTAAAAGCTGGATCATGCAACGGAGGCTTCAGTAACGGGAAGGTGAAACATACAACGGAAGCTCCAGTAACGGGAAGGTGAAACATACAACGGAAGCTC